CAGCACTGCGGGCGCCATTTTCGATCGGAGACTTCAGGGTTCGCCGGGGCTCACCAGCTTAACAGGACACCCCAGTGTGGGCTTACAGCCACACGCCCTCAGGGCCCCGGCCACCAGGAACCAAGTGGGGAGACTCTCACAGGACACCTGGCTTGATTAGCAAGACTCCACAACCCGAGACAGAAAACACGCCAGGAGAAGCCCCGGCCGCGAACGCCCCTCTGTGTCCCACACGCCTGAGGGTGGCCAGGGTGCCTGATCTGGAACAGGGTTCTGTCCCCCAAGCGGGGACAGGAGTGCCTGTCTGGGAGCCCCCGATAAAATGTAACAAAGTAACAGGGTCCGGGGTGGGTGAGCCCAGTTGTCCTTCTGACGCATTTCACTGGGCTCATCGCTTAAGTTTTTGTCTGTTGGACCGAGACAGGGTTCCTCAGCCTTGGCCCACCTCACGTTTGGGTCTGTACCGTCCTTTGCAGAGTGGGATCCCATGCACAGTAGGGTGACCAAAGTGTCCCCGGCCACCACATCCCAGTCGTGACAACCCAAAATGTCACAGAGTTGTCCCCGGTGGAGAGCCCCAGATAAAGGGAGTATCATCCTGCGACACTGATGGAGCCAGAGTCGTATCCTGTGCCACTTGACCTGTAGACTGGTGTGGGTAGGGAGGGGCCAGCCATCTTCAGGCTGTTAGGCTAGGCTGTTAGGCTAGGCTGTTAGGCTAGGCTGTTAGGCTAGCCTCTTGGCTGCCAACCATCCGCACGGTCCACAGGCCCAGCCTTCTCAGCATGCCTCCCATGGCAGCAGTGAGGGTGCCCCTCCTGTGGTCCAGTGCGCTGGCTCACAGCCTTGCCCAGGCTGTTCTGGAAGGTAAGTGTGAAAGGAGGCGGCATGGACCCTGCACCCCCGGCTCTCCTGGCGATGGATCCTGGGCTTGCCCCTGCCCACGTGCTCAGACGCCCCACTCCGCCCTCCTGGCTCGACTCGGTCCGCTCTGCTTCGAGACTGACTTCTCGTCCTTGCCCGCACCCTCTTCTGGCTGGTCTAGCTCACTTTATGATTTCCTCTTCATCAAGTTAGACCATTCTCTGCTTTCTGAAGCCTCCCTGGCTCCCGCCAAGCTGCCGCCTTCCCCGAAGTCTCCCTGTTGAAAGTTTGCCTGTGATAACAGCCATTGCCCACGTCTTGGCCCCTTTCAGATATGACAATGGATGACGTTCGGGAGTACGAGAAAAGCATGCATGAACAAACCAACACAAAAGTTTGCAGTCAGCATTCCTCCCCCGTGGATGGCACAGAGGGTCATGCCCACGCACGTGTACGTAGCACCCTTCAGATGTGTTGACTGCCCCGCCCGAGCACACCACGGCTGACCCTGGAGGTCTCCGGGCCGCCTGCGTCCGCGCCCGGAGGCCCTCGGGAAGTGCCTGAGCTGGGTCTGGGTGGGTCCTGGCACCCCTCTTCCAGACTTTCCGGTTCTTTCGAGCTGTTTGCCAGGGGATTGTTTTGGTCTTGAGCCAAGAACGCAGAGCTGGAAATGTTTTGCGGTGCTGGTGAAACGCACCAGAAAAGAGCAGAGGAGTGAAAATGGGTGTCATATGTGCCCCAGCACAACCTGTCAGAAACTTCTGAAAACACAGCTAACACCCCCTCTTCCTTCGAGGGAGGGCTTCTGGCCCAGCTGCTATTCTGAGTTCCTTTGCGTTTGCCTGGAAAAGCTTTCCGGGGCTCTTTATAGCACCCCTCCGCTCCCTTCACGCAGGATAATCTCAAGGCGGGGCCGCCCTGCGCACACACAAGGGCTGGGGGGTGAGCCGGGAGGCGCTGAGCCTGGACTGAAGCGGGGCTCGGGCCGAGCCCGGAGAGTGCCTGGCCACGCTGAACCCAGGGCCGGCTGCTGCACGCACCCCGGCCCTCCACAATGGCGCCGGGGATGGCAACCTCGGAGGAAAGGGGAGTCACCACGCCACATCCGTGTCCTTCCAGCCAGAGCACGTGCCCGTTAGCCCCGGCCCCAGGGTACTGCACGTTGGTGCTGGAAAGGCAATAATGTGGCCATGGGAAACCGAGAAGCAATGGTGGTGGTGCCTGGATGCTGTGGAGCTGCAAGCCCCGGGTGCACCTTGCAGCTGCCCGAGCTCACCGCGTGTCTGGAAAGCGCTGGCCGGGCCCTTCCCCGGAGGCTGCAGGCCCAGCCCTGCCTCCGCTTGGCACCTGCCATCTCTCCTCTCTCGCGCCTGGACTGCCCCTCCTCTGTTCCTGTCCTTGAATCCCATCACTTTCAACTGCAGCCTTCATTTTCCCATGGTCTTCCTCCTCTATTACAATGGGAACGCTAAAATCAGGAGGCCACTATTCAAATAAACATCTGATGAAGTTTAAGTCAGGAACAAATTAGACCAGAATTATGCAGAATTAGCATCCGCTAACACAGCAATGAGGAAGTTGCAGTCTCCCGATCAGCCGTCCGTTTCCAAGCCTTCAAGGAAGGCGCGTCTGGGACTGGAAGGCACAGACATGGGATTCTGCGTGTTGGGCGACTTCTACCCCCTGCTGGCTGCGGGGAGCAGAGCACCGCGTTGAGCCGCTTGCCGGGGAAGTCTTTTCCAAGGATGATGTCCGCTGCTGCCGCAGAAACACCACGCCCAGACGCACGAAAAATGCTTCTCAGTCTCAACCTTTTTTTGTGCATGCCTCTTTTTTAACCTTAATCTAATTTCTTAGCTTGTTTAACAGTCTTAGTATTGTTGAAAAGTGGTAGGTTTGCAGGTACAATTTTTCTTGATATAGTCCGATTTTTGCGTTATGGTAGCACAGTCACAATTGCTTATTTCCTCTATAAAAAGCTTTTCTCTTTGATAAAATTTTAATAATTGTTCCCTGGAAATCCCCTTAAGGATTTCATTTTATGAAAAATATTTCTGGTTTGCTCAGATGTTATAGAGGACCTGATGCTTAGCTAGGTGCGATGGCCTTTGCCTGTAATCCCAGCACTTTGGGAGGCCGAAGTCAGAGGACGACTTGAGCCCAGGGGTTCAAAACCAGCCTGGGCAACTTGGGAAGATCTCGTCTCTACTATAAATTTAAAAATTAGCAGGGCATGTGGTGCACACCTAAAGTTCCCGCTACAAGGGAGGCTGATGTGGAAGGATCACCTGAGTCCAGCAAGTGGAGGCTGCAGTGGCCGTGACCGTGCCACT